CATAAATTGGATTTGCTCACACAAGCTCTTGGCTCAATCCGAATCCCATTCGTCCTGAAATATACTATCCAGAAATGCGATTGCTTTGTAAAAATGTTAGCATTTGGTTACAATTAACCGGTCATTTAAGTGCAAGAGGTACGAAGTGACTTATGCCACTTTAAAAATAAGCGGTTCATATGCACATTCAACCTTCTCTGCATATATGTATGCTATGTACATTTGTATCTTCGTACATATGGATATACATACATACATATGTAGATATATGCATGTACCCTGCAGGAAAACCGCGGACTATTGAATCAAATTTCTAGTTCCATACAAGGTCTTCATCGCCAAAAACGAACCAGTCCGATAGTAAGTAGATCCTCACCAGTTCAAAATCAGCGAAATGTGGGACTCCTAAAAAAAACTATTTTATTTCTCTTTTTTCTTTAGAAATCTATATTTAAAGTGACGAATTTAGAGCTGATTCGGAATTATAGAAAAACGGACGCAGAACGAACTGGATCTTATCTGTCGATTTTAGAAATAGTTCGAAACTATCGAAAAAGGGATGCAGCGGGGGGCTTGTTTAGTTTACATAGATATGTGTTTGGCGGCTTTTTCGTTCAAATGCACTTTCATTCTGCACTTCGCAGATGCTATTTCATAGTTTGGTAATACAAAACAAAACTTTGTGTTAACATATTAACATCTTGGGGCCGTCTGGAATCTAACCAATAACAGCGAGCACCTCTGCATAGTCAAAGGTATGTAAACGTATATTTCTTACAATCATTCAAACAAATTTAATTTCAAATTGAAAAAAATATTTCTTTGAAAATAATTTAAAATCGCACACGGAAGAACGGAACCGAACAGATTATAATACTTTTTTTCTTTCGTCTGGCGATTTTAAAACAGGTTCGGAACTATAGAATTTAGAACTAGTTCGGAACTATCGAAAAAGGGATGCAGCGGGGGGGCAATTGACACTTCCTAGGACATTGCCATGTTAAATTCGTGCTGGGTCTAAACGTACTATAGGCGCACCAGTTCAGAACTAGAGATTTTCCCCACAGGGTATATATTTATATACATACCCTTCAGGAAATGTTTTTAACTATAAGTTAAATTCGCGGTTTGCGGACAGCTAACTATATTATCTATGGCGATGGCCGCGAAATAGTCAAGTCTGCATTTGATGGCAACTAACTTGCAACGAAATACTTTTGGACATAAAATGTCAATAAGATTTTTTTTTTACTTTTGTACTTGTATATTCTTCCATTTTGCTGCATGCGGGGCATTTCTGCCATGGCAGATCTGTAATCCGTGATCCGGAAACGGGATTCTGACAATCGCTACGCAAAATTTTTGTAGCCAGTATTCTCTCAAATCAGTTGCAGCATAAAATAATAACAGATGTTTTATCTTATCTGCCAAATCTGGCAGTATGAGAGACATGTAACTAGACGCTGCGTATTGTCTTGCTCAATTACCGGTCTTTTGGAGATTTTTGGATATCAAAATTAGTAACGAATTCGTAAGGATCTATCCATTTTTTCCGTGAGGAGGTACTTGACATCTCTCTCAGCAACAGACTGACGAGTCCTCTGATCGTTCAGTGGTGGGTCTCATCCGAGCCCTCACTGTCGGATCACAGGATTATCCGATTTGCATTGGGAGCTGAGGTTATGACAGGTCACCCAAAGAGAAACCCCAGGAAACCAGACTGGGGTAAATACGAAGAGGTACTGAGGTTGAACCTAACCACAAAAGAGGCACAAGATAGAGAGGTGGATTGTATGGAGTTAGAGGAAACGGTCAACAAGCTGAACGGCACTATTCTGGATGCCTTTACCTCCAAGCTGCCCCGTGTCAAAGCCAAAGGGGAAAGCTTAGCCTCCCTGGTAGACACGGGAACTCTCAGTTCTTAGGAAAGAGGTGCGGAGACTTTTCAACAGGGCAAATCGCACCGGGGACTGGGAGGAGTACTCCGTCAGTCTGACAAAATACAATAAGGAGATTAGGAAGGCCAAGCGTAGCAGCTTCAGGACCTTTTGTGAGAATATAGCATCTACTCCAGCAGCTGCTAGGCTGCATAAAGCCTTAGCGAGAGACAAACAGGGACCAGGCTGGCTATTAGGCTACCTAATGGGGCTTTTTCAGGTACTGAACAGAAAAGGGCACTCGCCCTACTGTCGGCCCACTTTCCGGACGCCATTACCACCGCCGGGCATACGTTGTTCCGTGCGTTCAGGCCATCCCCACCGGACTGGAAGTTGGCTAAAAGCCTTATAAACCGGCAAACAGTGCGGTGGGCTCCGCACTCCTTCGAACGGTACAAGGCCCCTGGGGTGGATGGTGTATGTCCGGCGCTGCTGAAGCAGGGCGGGGAGCTCTTACTTCCACATCTTGTGGACATTATGAGGGTCAGTCTAGCACTGGCTCACATTCCCAAGGTGTGGCAGAGGGCCAGGGTTATCTTTATCCCGAAGGTAGGTAAGAGGGATTACTCTCGGGGGGTATTATCTCCTCTACTGTGGAGCTTAGTTGTGGACGAACTCCTACAGATACTTACTAACGAGGGCGTCCGTTGCCAAGGGTACGCTGACGACATAGTGATTATCGCTAGAGGGAAGTTCGCAAGTACTCTCTGTCCAAAGAGGACTTAACCTTGCAAAAAGGTGGTGCGCAGACGTAGGTTTAAATATCAACCCTTCTAAGGCAGCCATAGTTCCCTTCACCAAGAATCGAATTCTCCAGGGGATGAGGAACTTGACATTGGACGGGGTCGTAATCAGTGTCGCCACAAAGGTTAAGTATCTGGGGCTTACCCTGGACTCCAAGCTTCTGTGGAGGGCCCATGTTGATGCGGTCACCTCTATGGCCACGAGAGCGATGATGGTGTGCAAACGTCTAGCGGGTAAATCCTGGGGGTGCACTCTGAGGATCCTCAAAAGGATGTACACCATGATAGTGAAACCAATAGTGACTTATGGTGCGGTGGCTTGGTATTCCAGGACTACTATGGGAACGGTGAGGCAGACCCTCTCTAAGATTCAACGTCTTGCATGTGTTTGCATAACGGGAGCAATGCGCACATGCCCGACGGCAGCGCTGGAGGTAATGCTGGAACTCGAGCCACTGTATCTCTCAATTGAACAGGCTGCAAAGCGAACCCTACTTAACTTTGCGAGGGAGGGTTTCGGCAAAGGCAAGGTGTTATTATCTAGGAACAGAGACAAGCTAGGTACCCAGCTCCCCTGGCTTTGTTCCCCAGGGACGATATTAACAGAGAGCTGGTCTTCAAGAGAAATTTCAGGACCCACACTTATAACAAGGCGACCTGGTGTACCTCTATTATGGAGAGTCACATACAGGCGAGCATAATACAGTGGTACTCTGACGGCTCTAAACACCCGTGGGGATTGGAGCAGGCGTGTACGGCCCTAGGCTGAAGATTTCGGTGCCCCTGGGAACTTTTCCTAGCATCTTTCAAGCGGATGTCTACGCCATCAGTGTGTGCGCTGAGAGCAACATTCGTAGGAACTATAGGAACGAAAGGATACTTATACTAAGTGATAGCCAGGCGGCACTGAGGGCCCTCTCATCATTTGAGATCAAGTCCTCCTTGGTTTGGGAGTGTGTCGAGAGGATCAATGCTCTGGCAGAGGTCAACGATATCCAACTAATGCGGGTACCAGGGCACATGGGGGTTGCAGGAAATGAGGAAGCTAATCATCTTGCCAGAACGGCCGCTTCCTCGACCCCGATAGGACCTGAGCCCTTTCTGGCAGTAGGACACAACACCATAAAGGAAATGCTCAAAAGGGACAACAGCAAACTGAGGGAGCTACACTGGCTTGGCACTATGGGCCAACGTCAGGCGAAAAGCTTATTGGGAGGTTACAATCTGTCAAGATACAGGCTTCTCATGGATCTCCCAAAAGAGAAACTAAGAATTATTACAGGTTTTATGACGGGCCACTGTAGGCTCAGAGGGCACCTGCATAAACTAGTTAGCTGGTCCAGCGACCTGTGTCGCTTTTGCGATGCATCCAAGGAGACTCCTCTAAACCTCCTTATGGAGTGTGAGGCCGTTGCACGCAGGAGGTATAGGAGCATAGGGCACGTCTGGCCAAGAGAGGAGCACATACACTCACGGTCCCCGGGGTCTATTATTAAATTTATAGACACTCTGGGGCTGGTTGATGTGTTGTGATGAGCTAGGGGCACAATAGACTTACTGGTCGCAGTGCCATAACCAACCAACTATTTATCTATCTAGGGATCCCTATGCCCTTAAGCTTCTGTATGTTTCATTGGTGAGATCTAGGTGAGAATACTTATATACGGTTAACACCATCTTGTTCAATACGCCTTGGATCTACCCTTCAAAATTATGACCTTCAAACAATCTGGCAGCACAATTTAGTTTGTTTCTAAATTTATCGATTTATTTTAGTATAGTTATCGGCCACTTTCAGCTGTTCAATAGTGATGTGCTGAGTATTAAGTATTGATCGATATTCGTTACCGATTTAAAAAGTATCCAACACTCTCGATACTCGGTACTGAAACATTTAGGTTTCGAATATAAGCGCACATAGGCCAAAAATATGGAAAAAACGGTTCAGGAGAGACTCGCCTATGAAAACCCGAATGTAGGAGCCAATAAAGCTTTTAATACTGATTCAAATCAAAGATGTATGTATATATGTCGGTTCGAAGCCATAATGCAGAGAAACTCTTGCGAGTTTGTTAACGTATGATATGAAATATTTTTACGCCAACAAGTGTGATATCGATCCGAAACTTGTCGCCAACTGGTAAAACATTTTTCTTCAAGTTCAAGTGTTTTAGCCGATATCATATAAATTTGTAATGAAGGTATTTTTTCAAAACTTAAACGCATATAACCGCGAAGGTTTAAGGTAAAGAATCGGCATCGGGTACCGAAAATGAAGTATTGGGTACCGAAATATTTTCTAAGTATTGGGTACCGACACTTCAGCACATCACTACGGTTCAATTGCTATGGAGCGAATCTCGAGATTGTTTTGGCCGGTAGTTGTAGTACCTAAAAATGCAGTTGTTAAAAACGTGGAAGGAGTATCCAGAAGCCAGAAGGTAGCCAAACATGAAAAGAAATATTAAATCACCAAGTAAAGGAACTAATTTATACGTATATGACTATCTATGTATATGTGTATCTATCTTTTAAGCTTTTAACCGAATTGGGTTTTGTTAAGCCAGCACATAATGGCACCTATCAGCTCATGCCCATGGCGCAGCGTGTGCTTGACAAGTGTGCCGATTTGGTGCGTCGGCGTATGAGATCTGTGGGTGGACAACAAATATCAATGCCGGTGTTGACGCCCTCGGAACTTTGGAAGAAGTCCGGGCGGTTAGATGGTGATATAACCGAGTTCTTCTTATTGGAGGATCGGCACAAAAAACAATTTATCTTGAGCCCTGTAAGACGGCAGTAGTATAAAATCTAATATATACATTCAGAGATTTATCCACTATCTTAAATAGACGCACGAAGAAGCAGTAACCGGTATGTTGGCATCTATTGCACCGATTTCTCATAAACAATTGCCCTTACGTCTATTCCAAATCGGACCGAAGTTTCGAGACGAATTGAAACCTCGCTTTGGCTTGATACGATCAAAGGAGTTCATTATGAAGGATTTATATACGTTTGACCGTAATGCCGCTACAGCTTTGGAGACATACAACCAGCTGACTGTCGCATACGACGCATTATTTCAGCAACTGGAGGTGCCATTTGTAAAAGGTACATATCTAAATGAGTAATTCCGTAAAAAAGTCTATGTATTTGAAAATTGCCTTTGTCAAGGTACAATTCGACAAAAAGTAATTTTAAGTTTTTTAATGCAACTCCTTTAACAGAGCCTTTGTTTAACGTTTTTTTTCTTTATATTATTCTATCCTTTTTCGAGAAAAGTTAAAGCTGCTACTGGCATGATGGGAGGCAGTTTGTCACACGAATACCATTACCTCGCTAACTCTGGCGAGGACCAGCTTATAAAATGCAACACTTGTGACTATGCAGCGAATGTTGAAACAACAGGAGAAACAAATGATAGCAAAATCTGTCCATTCTGCAATTCCCCTGAAGTTCAACGAGTACGAGGAATAGAAGTGGGCCACACGTTTGTACTTAATGATAAGTATTCTCGACCGCTGAAAGCGACATTTCTGCAAGAGAACGGAAAACCAGAATATCTTGTTATGGGCTGTTATGGTATTGGCATCAGCCGACTAGTAGCAGCTGCGGTAGAAGTTCTTTCAACGGAAAGAGAACTGCATTGGCCTACGCTTCTGGCTCCTTTCGATCTGTGTATCATAGGTGCAAAACAGGGCAGCAAAGAAGAGAAGGTAGCTCATGAAATAGAACATCAGTTCTGCCTTTCGCTCAACGGGGTTTGTTCTGACGAGGAGGTGCTCATTGATGACCGAAACTATTTGACAATTGGAAAGAGGCTTATGGAAGCCAAAAAGTACGTACGAATAGCAAATTATTTGTGTGCATATTTATTTAATTATATGAAATGTAGAATGGGTTATCCCATAATCGTTGTGATCAGCGGCAAATCAGATGGTACAGCGCCAAAGTTAGAGCTACATTTGAAGCATGCTACAATGGAAGTTGAGCTAAGTGAAGCACTGTCTGTAATTTCCCAATACACGAGACGTAAACAGAAGCTGTACAGCATAATCTCGGTTTGTAAAAATGCTTAGCCTACGGAATCATATTAAAATTTTCTAATACATCTCGTACACATATTTCTCTGATATTTTTAGGAATCTAGCCAAAGTCTTAATATAAATAAAGCATCGTTTGGTTAACAACTCTTATAAAATGTAGAAAAATAATTATTCTATTGGAAGATGTTTATTTAATTTTTTTGTTCAAATCTTAAGTCTGATACCAAAATTTATGTTCTGCTAATCATATAGTATAGAGCATATTTGCTTATAGTAATGTAGTTAGCTACAGAATTGGCAAATTTGATTTAAGCGCTGCAAACTCTTTTCGATCAAGCGCCTTCAGACTTGTGCCAGAGTATGGTGAAAAATGTTCTAAATCGCGATGCTTGTTGACCAATATCTTTTGATCGGAAGTGATAATATTAATTTCCCGTTGAATTTGGATTTGATCTACGAAAGAGTTAAAAGTATTAAGACAACTTTTTTGTATTCGATTTCTTAATTCACCATTTTTTAAAAGTTTCAAAGCCCTCTCTCGTTCTAACTTAACCAGCATGCTGCCTACAGTAATCCAAACTTTTTTTTCGCCATTTTCCGAACTTTTTTCCACCTCCCGTATCGCTTCTCGTGTTTGTTGTCTTCGCTTGTCAAGCTCGACCAGCTCCTGTTTGTTAACCAGTATTTTGTCAGCCAACTCTTCTGTTGAATTTATGATTTCAACGACTTTTTGCTCATCGCTTTTAGGCATGTTTGTGATGATTTACTGCAGAACATGTGAATATACATATGTAAATTTCGTGTTATTAATGAGTCCTAGCCACACAACTGCATCCTAACCAATTATGTTCCCTTCATCAGCTCAGTTCTTTCCGAAGACGTCGCTCGCGTTTCCATTCTCGTAATTTTTCTGAACGAATATCGTTACGTGAACGCTTTTTCTTCGTAGGCAACACGCTTGAATTATTGTGTTTCACTGCTTCCAAATCATTTGCACCAAAATGGGTTATACGCGCAGGCTCTTGATCGGTTCCGAGCCCTGTTCGTTTCTTCCGTATTACGGTTTTAATGGGATATAACCTGCCGTCTTTTGTTGGCCCCAATCCGCTTTCCTTATCCCAACCTTGTTTTACCATCATTTGTAGACCACGATTTTTTGAAGAAATATTGAATTTATCCAGCTTGTGTTTGCTTTTAGTGGACTTCGTATTAAATTGGTGAAGTGTGGATGTTTGATGTTGAAGGCGAGTTGTATCCGAGAAAGTTTGAGCGCAGATGGAGCAATAAAAAGCCTGAGTTGGATGGTCAGAAGGACTGCGTTTTTCATCAACCCTCGATATTTCAAATTCAAGTCCTCTTTTCAATAAAACTGCAATGTCTTCGTGGCCTTTTTGCTTTGCGATATCAAGAGCTGTCCTTCCACACTTTTCTTTTATGTTTTTGTCAGCGCCCAACTGTAGCAGCATTCGAACTGCATTTTTGGCTCCCTCACAAGCAGCCATCATAAGAGCAGTCCATCCAAACGTATCACAAGCATTGACATCATTGGGCTGATAATCGAACCTCGCTAATTCTTCTATGTTATTCGAAGTGGCGTATCGAAAAAATTTAACGCGATTAAATTTTAAAGATTGGCCCTTTTTGCTGATTGATTGGCAATCAACCGGTAGCGTAGTGATAACTGATTGGTTGCTCGTAAATTTATCTGTTAGTTCCTCATAAAACTTTTGCACTTCCACGCCGTCCATTTCACATGGTAGAGAACTTTGGTGTTGGTCTTGATTAGCTTCATTGCTCTGCAATTCTAGCCCACGAACGAAACGTTTTAGCGGAAAGTTTACCCTAGCCAGTGCCCACCAGTTAGGATGCAGCTGTGCATCTCCTGACTCCATTATAATTACCCAGAAAACTTTTCATATAACAAAAAATTGCAATGTTTACGACAGGCTCTGTAATAATAAAGTAAAAATGGTTTTTAGAGATTGGAAAACTGTTTGTTACAATTTTATCGTTGTGGAAACATCGATATCAAAAATCCAAAATCCCTCCATACCAAAAAAAAAGTTGTATGAAAAAAATACAGTTTTAGTGGAATCTTTTCAACAATAGAATAAAGGATTCATAGAAACTTGAACTTATTAACAAATGACAAAATCTGGTATTATTTGATCAGAATGCTATTGCAATAATCCATCTTGTACGAACATTCCCATAACTGCCCCAACACATTATTTTCCCGAAATCCCTCAATTTGTACATCACTCAAAGCTGAATTTTGTAAAAACGCTATTGACTTAATTTTGACGTTTGCTGTCAAAAAAAAGACAGCTTTTTGAATGTTTAAAAGCAGCACAAAAAGCCGTATTGTAAAGAAGCCATTGCGGAAAAGAAATTAATTTTTATTGCAATAAATGGACTACTCAAAGTTTGGGAACATGATGGAGAAGAATCGAGTAGAGAGTTTCAAGAAATGGCCCTTTGACGATAGCAGCGCATGTAGTATTAAAAAGGTAAGAATTCTTTACAAAGTAATAAGTCGCGCCCTTCTCAAGCTTCTTTTTTCTTCGCTTCTTTTTTATGAGTTAGATGGCCGAGGCCGGATTTTACTGGAGCGGCAACGAACGGGAACCAGATACAGTTACATGCTATGTTTGCAACAAAACTCTCGATGGTTGGGAGCCAACTGATGACCCTTGGAAGGAGCATGCAAAGCATGCACCACAATGTAATTTCGTGAAGTACGGCCGAAAGGAAGCAGAACTGACAGTAGGAACAGTCGTTTGGATTCCAATCTAATTAGCAATAACTCTATCCTTTTATTAATTTCAGGTGGACGAGTTTATCAAATTATTTAGTGTTGCCGTCAAAGGACGTATGGAGCAAAACTTAAATAAAGTAATGGACCAGTTTAGAAAGTGGGCTGAAAACGAAAAGGAGAAACTTGGCAAATAAAAGATTTATTTCAGGCATGTTCTGCAAATCGGTGCGATTTACAAAATCTATTTCGGAGGATTTATAACAAAGAGGGAATAATTTTCGCACCGATTTGAAATCGTACGATTTGCAGAACATGCCTGTATATCGTGTTTCTTAATAGGGTTAGTATTTAAGTTATTAGATTAGAAATAAATTATGGAAAAATAAAGATTACTACCATTGTTGCGAATTAACAGACTCATTTGTCCGCGGTGCTCCGAAATTCGAATTTCGTTCTGAAGTGTCAAAATTTATTTGAGAAAATTAAGAAGTGTAAACTATCATGGTGTAAACTAAAATGAGATCAATTGTTTTAATAATTGTTTTCATCAATAATGAGCACAAAATAAATGAAAAAGTGAGGTGAACAATTTTGTGTGATGATTTTGTGTTGTAGTATGCAAAAACTGTTCGTTTCTTTTGCTATTTCAAACTATAATACTCCCGGGGAGTTTGTTTCTCCCCAGAAAGAAATCCTCCAATAGCTAACTCCCAGGGAGTGGCATTTTCCCCGAAGGAGGAAATTTGAACTTCGAAAAAGCTGTTTGACACTTTTTTGAGAGCCCAATTTCGCCATTTAATCACGCCCATTGCGAGAGTCGTGTCGAATAAAAGTCGTTCATCCTAATTGCGAAAGTCGTGCCGAATTCAAGTCGTTTTTCGAGAGTCGAATTTTGACAAGGTGGTGTTGAGGGCGAATTTAGATTTTCGCCGGGGTATTTCCTAATGTCAAAATTATGTTTGTTGTAAACAAGGCGAATTCATATTACAACAAACACATTAGTTTGACGTTAAGAAGTACGGCGGCGAAAGTCTAAATTCGCCAGTAACACCACCTTGTATAAATTCGCCTTGCCCCATTTACTGCGATATGTCGAAGGTTTGAAGAAAACGTCAAGCTCCAAAAGTTTGTTGTGGAGTTGCTTGCCTGAAAAGCCTAAACGGCCTCGAAAACCGCAACGCATGAAAAACCTGCTATGGAGATTTAGCTTTAAATTTTTTTTCACTCACGTTCGGGAATGCAACTCTGATTATTTGGCTTCATAAAAACATTAACCCACCGAACCATTTGTTATCTGCATATTCGCTTTCCCATTTGATTTTTGTTTAGCTCACTAGTTTTGTATGGTGCTACAGTGTTGAATAAGTTGTAATTGACGTCTCCTTAATACACATACATATGTTTGCCTATCAGACAAATTCCCCAGAGTTTTTGTTGAATGATGCTGGTGACAGCCCTTGGCCAGATATAAATCTGGGACGTTCCAGTTACGTAGCCCCGACTGACGTAGGAATGTGAAACTGACATACGTTTGCTCAATCCGCTTACTTGTCTGCTCGCATCATAATTTTTACACACTTCAGCTGATAAGTCGCAGGGCAGCGCTACCATTGATCAAAACAAATTGTGCGTTGGACTTGTCCAATCGAAAGTGATTGGAAAATGTAAGAAGTGATAATAAGGAAATAAATCTTTAAGAAAAAATAATAAAAACAGAAAAATAACAAAAAAGACATATGGAAAGCGAAGACAATGCAGCAAAGTCATAAAGCATTATAAAATCCAAAAATAGAGATGGAAGGAAGAGCGTGCGTGTGAAAAGGAAGAAGCGATGTTACGAATTCGGTGTGAATTTTTAATAATCGTCTGATTATGAAAGAGAAAAAGAGGCCGCAAAGTGAAAAAAAGTGTGTGATGAACATTGTAACAAGAAGAAGGGGAAGTAAAAGTGGAACAAGAAACATGAAAATCAATAGGTTTCGTGTTTAAGCGTACGGCAAAAACGTGTGAATGCGACAGCTATAGAACACAATGGATAACGAAAATGGCGACAAGAGACGAACGAGCGTACGAACGAATACTATACGAAAACGACTGCGATATGGCGATGAATTGGGCTGTGAATGACGCCAAGAGGTGCCAGATGTGTAAACCTTGCATCATACTGAGTATTTGGATAAATTCCTCAATTGTATGGAAATTATTACAATACTTACGAGTTAGAATTAGGGTCAGTTTTTCAGTGCACGGCCGTGGTTTAAACGAAGTTTAAACGCCCGATCTGGCTGGTTTAAACTAAGATTAGCCTGTTGTTCAATTCAAACTCGGTTTGCTTAATCTAACATTAAACTGTCACCGAAAAACTGACACTAATTGTTGCAAATTTATCCAAGGCGATATCATTTAAATTATTTAGACTGAAAATTGTTTTATACTGATATTTGGAAAAGTAAATTTTTTTTTTATTTGTGGAATGACCATCGAACCTAATTTACATGCGATAAAATCTACTCATTTTGATTAGGGATATTTTTATCGTTTACATCTGGCATACCTATCATGGCGGGCGAACGACAAGCGAACGAACGACGTGAAAAATCCATTTTCTAATTATTCCAAATTCCTCTTTAGCAGCGAATTCCTTCGTGTCTAGCATTGCGTTGGACGACTGAAAAGCTGAAAAAGAAGCTGGAAAGCTTAGAAAACTCTGTTAAAAACTCGAAACACACAGAAACAACAACAAGTGTTTAAACAGTGAAGAAATAATGACGCGAAAATTATAAGCGAAAAAATACTGCGCGAAAAACATTCAGACTTCCACATATTCGTACAAAGTGCAACATAGAGCAAGGCGATTGATTGTGTTGAAAATTTTGTGTTTGTTAAATTGAAATCATATGGAAGTAGTTGCCTCCTTAATTGGTATTAAATATTTGGGGCTTTTCTATTTGCATTGACATTTATAAAGCCGTTGCTATTTATAGTAGAACATTTAGTGCACATCGTGTACAACGGCAAAAAGTGAATCGGAACCAAATCTGCATCCCGTGGCTTGAAGAAAATTATGCAAAAAGACAACCCCCGAGTGCAGCGACGTAACAGTTGGCAGCGAAATTGAACACACAAATACGTCTAGCTTCACTAATTAATTGTCAGCCAGCGAGGGCAGAATAAAAGGGAGTAGAGGGAATTGATAAAAATCGAGAATCGGCAAAAGGCAAGTGGCATGTTTATAATAAGGAACCGGCTTGGTTACATTACAAAATATCTACATTTAGCCACTAAGAAATATGTATTGCTTCTTTTGTTTTTATGCAGTATACCAACATACAATGTAGAGTTTAAAATTGTTTACTTGTTTTGATCATGGTTCATAGTGTTTAAATTTCTTGAATTGTGAGAAAAATGAAAGAAAATAAACTGTTTGTAATGAAGCTCACCTGCAAATAGTTTTAAAACATACCACAATAAGTTGTAAACTGTTATATGAAAGATCACCTATGAACACCGTCAAAGTGATTTCTAAACCGAGTGATAATATTGTAAAAGTTCCTATGTATGAACCTAGTTAGCTGTTCTATAAAAGGATAAATAGAAGTCCAATATGATGCTAAACTTGTACTTTTGGGTACTGTTTATGAATTTGTACAACGATTTTGGGTTGCTGTGCCCAAGCGCGTGATTCGAATCAAAAACCTTTTACACACACTTGTAGACAGTTCACGCTTTATTACACAAAATTAATTTACTAAATCTGCACTAATTTACCAATAATATTGGTGGTATTTGTTGCAAATTTCCGAAATATACATACACTGATTACTCTTATTCTGCCATAAAGCAGCCACATAATACATATTTACATTTTTATGTTTATATTTACTTTACACATTACTCTATTAGTTGTTAGTTGTTTTATTCCTTTAGTTGAAACTTATTCGTCGCAATTTATTAATTAAAATTGCTATGAAAATCGCCAGTGCGCCTCCGGCCCCCACCCCTAAATCGTTGCACAAATAGCTAAACATTTCCCAAATGTATAGCTAAACATTTCCCAAATGTTTTTGCGATTATATCATAAAACCATGGGAAATGTTCGGTTTGTACAATGATTTCGTGGTGGGGAGTGGATCCGGCACCTAAAACCCCACCCATTAGAAAAAGCACGGTCCAAACTTTAAGATAACTCATTCCCCGCTCTACAAATCCGCGGGGCCCATTTGAAATGGAGTAAAATTAGCATTTTCTGGTTACGCCATCTACAGTATTTTTGTGAGAACACCTATCCGCGTTGGCGGACTTCGGCCGGGCTTATACAAAATAACCCTCAACAACAACAACAGTGACAGACGTGGCAATATTTGCAATTTTCCCTCGGAATTCGCTGTCAAATTGAGAAAGATAAATTTTATTTCGATGTGTGAACAGCCATAGACATTTCTGTCACATTCCCGATATAATTTTCAGAAATATTAGTTGCATTCCAGATGCTTCACGATTTGCAGGAACAGCAGCTTTCTCCATTAATAAACCTACGACACTAGCACAACTTCGCTCCGGCTACTGCAGCAGGTTAAACTCCTACCTGAGTAGATTGAATGAGGATGTGCCAAATGAATGTCCGGCATGCGGAGAGACCCCACATGACTCGAAACATCTCTTCGCATGTCCGGAAAACCCGACAACCCTAACGGCCTTGTGCCTGTGGACCAACCCCACAGAAGCTGCACGCTTCCTAGGGCTGCCGTTAGTGGAACTCGACGACAACGACTGAGATACCAACCGTCCTGGGCGGGGTTGTTGTAGCCGCTACAACCACAACAACAACATTAATAAACCTTATTAAAGGTGGTCAACTGGAACGACTTCCTGTAAAAACCTGCAAATCGTGAAGCATCTGGAACGCAACTAATAGTTGAAAGATGTGACAGCAATCGAGAGAGCGCAAATTGGTTTCGGATATACATATAAATATTTTAAGTTGCTAGTGCTGCACTAGCAATCTGCAATTCGCCTTTCGGAAATAATAAAATTATTGTTTAAAAAACTAAAACCTCCCTATTATAATTGCCTTTCGTACTGTCATCCGGTATGTAAGTTGAGAATAGAAATCGCTGCATCTTTTAGGCGCATCAATATTACATAGTTACATCCCGAGCTAATAAAAGGAAGGTGAAAAAAACGTCTTTCCAAAGACACTTTACATGCAAGGTGTGGCTGCTCATGCAACTGCTTTCTGAAATTTCTCATTTTAAGGATTTTAATACAGTAAAACTTTTGTTTGACATATGAAATAATGATACGTTTAAATATAAAAAAATTGTTTTCACATTTTAAATTTCCTCTCATTTCATTAAATAATTGAAGACTGTTGTGACTACACGTGAAT